TAGGATCGTTTTTCTCATATTTTGGATTTAGTAGTTTTCTGTTTTATATTGTCGTGAGTTTGTTCTTCTAGCGTTGCTAGGTTAGGCTCTAAGCGATCTTCAGATCTGTCCTCCCAGTCTTTTCAGCCTTTGGTTATATCTTTCAGTTTTTGGTTGTTTTATCTTCGCACTTTGTGCAGTTTTTCTTTATATATATAAAATCTCTATCGTTCGAAAAAAAAAAAACAACGATAAATATTTAGCTCGAAATCTCCAATTTCACACCATTTGTAATCCGACCGCCATGCTACAATTTAACCAGTGTTATAAAATATAGCGTAATGTGTCGCATGTTGATCTTTATACTGTGTAGCGTAAATAACATTGCGTATTGCGTAAGCTAATTGTCAGAACTAAGGTTTCAGAGAAGAGAGAGAGATGCGAGAGGAAGGAGAAAGGACAAGAAAAAATATTATTGATGAAAAATAATGATAAAGTGTTGTGTTTACAATGTATCCGTACATATATATATATATATATATATTACACAAGTTGAACTAGAGTTGTCAGTTTTGGGTTTGACAACTTTACAAGATTTTCCTAACAACAATATGTAAAATAGTAAAATAACAACAATATATAAACTAGTGACACTTTCACTATAACAATTTATTTGTGTAGAAATATTATAAATATATTTGTATATAATAAAAGTGGGTTGTTGATTAAAAAAAATTCTAATATTTGAATGAATTCAAAAATAGCATCTAAGTTATTTTTCACAAATGCCATAATGTAAATCTCATAATATAAATATTTAAATAATAAAGCGAAGATATACTAAAAGTAAAAACAAACAACAAAATATAATGAGGCAAGTCATAGTGTAATTTTAAGTATATGTATTTTAATCATTATTTTTATTTAACTACAACTTAATTCGAACCACTATATATAAAGTTTTTATTTTGTATTTAAATGTTAAATATCGAAAATTTAAAATGATATAATAGAAATGAACCGAAAAATATTGCGAACTATTTAACTTAGGGTTTTGCATTTTAAAACTTTTAATTTAAATTAATTATTAGAAATTTAATTTTTAGTTGTCATTTAAAAATATGACTCTGATCCCTAAAAAACACAAGTTTTGAAATCTTTTATTGTTTAAATGATGTTGCAGAAATATAGGGTAATGTCGCGCACAATGCGTGAAACAACTCAAAATAGCGTAAAAAAGTGTGTCATTTCAATATTTCACCTAAGCTTTTCGGGAAAAACGTTAAATATATAACGCTACGTCGTGTTTTTTGAAAGGAAAAAAAAAGCTACATAACAAACTATAGCGAGCAACATATCGAACTATTTTAAATCATTAAATTTAACCAATGTTTTCATTGAAACTCACTCTCAACTCAACCCACTCATCTAGAGCCTATATATAAATAAATAAAAAAAGATGCGATATCTAATATCATTGGATCTTTAAAAATTTGACAACTATTCCGTGACCGGTCAAAATGGTTGCTCCTGACACTTCAAATTATTTTGATCATTCCTTGGTACTTTTTGCAGATGAAGCTATAAATAAATATTATATTCGAAGAGTAGGAAGCCCCAATCAAATTCATACCATCCCCCAAACTGCCCCACCTTTCACTTCCCATCTATGTACTTACATTCTCTTTTGGACTTTCCCATCTAACTATTATTGCAACTAGACATG